ACTAAAAATAGGACAATGACTTACGATCAAATACATAAATTCCTTTTGAGGTCTATAGCTAGCCGAGGAGTTATGGCTATGCCAGAAATTAAACAAATCATTAATTCCTTTACAGGTAATAGAATAATTGTTAAGTACTACCTATAAAATAAGCTGGTTTAGATTAAAAAAATATTTATTTCAGAGGACGTCGTTTCTCCTAAAGATCTCATTAAAGACATAAATGAAAAAATACGACCATTCCAACAAAAGATCAAGATAACTAATGATGAACTTACTTCTGAAGAAGTCGTGGTGTTTCTTTCTCTTGGTTATGATGATGCCACTAAATCTCAAAATGTATTCTCCGCTACTGAGCTTGAGTACTTTCGTATATTATTGGAACAAATTATGACTACAGTAACCCGGCAAATAACTGGCATACACGCAATAAATTTAGTTAACAGTATGAAATCTTCATTTACTAAGTCTGATGCACAGGTGAGAGATGTAAAGTATTAGTTCATGTTATGATTTTTAAAATGTTGAACCATCAGCTAGCTTAGTTTGTTTACATTATTGCTATGTGGATTATCTTACTTCATACTATTAAAAATGCAAAAGTTTATATGCATGGAATGGATGTTTGAGAGTTTGTAGCCTAAACTGGTTAATGGATCTTGATAAAATTTGGCACAGATGTTGAGTATAGTCTGGAAGGATACACAGTCTCGGGCAAAAGCTAGCCATGAAATTAAGTTCAGCTATTGTGGGTATAACACATACAGCCTTATAATCAAAAGGGGTATAAAGTTAAACTTAGGAGTAAACTCTGTGTTCCCGCCGCTCATTTGCCCCCTTCTCATATAAAAAAAAAACAAATTAAAACAGGATAAGCAAATATTAGTAGAAATTTTTCTTATACTCAGTTTATTGCTAATATATTTATTTGTAGTGCTGATAGTGTTTATAATTTTTTTATGCTCCAAGATTTTTAAATAAAAAGCAATATGCTCAATATACATCGGAAATATCTTAGGTATATTATTTTTAAATATTACACAATATCATTTTTTATTGATTCCAGAAATTACTAAATGTGTGGTGTAGGATGCGTTATTTGGACAAGGATGAGGCTAATTATGCACTAGGTGTTCGAGCAATACATGAGTTTGAAGGTTACTTCAGAGAAAATATGCCAGATATTATTGAAGAATGCTGTCTATGTAAACAGGTTGTGTTTAGGGTAAGTTTTTTTCTAATTTTAATATTGGGATTTTGCAACCTGGTGTTATCAATACCAAGTAATGGATGTAATCTATATAAAATCTGTAGATGTTATTTTAATTCAGTGCCTACTGTCTTGTCTGTGCTACATTATCATTGCCAATAAGTAAAATAATCTTAAATTTGTTTTTGTGGTATTAAATTTTCTTTACTAAAATATAGAAGAAAATTCAAACACATTTGTAGTTGCTTATTTCACATAATGTTTAGAGATTAAACAAATCTGTTATTATTTTGATTCTAGAGATAATCTTACTCTTACTCATTTTATGAATATGAAAGATTAGATGGATAGATAGATGGTTCAACAGTGGTAGAGCCCGCTTTTAAATCTTCGCACTAAGGGGCCGGCTCGCCCGGTGTAATACCACAACCACACAGAAAACAGGCGTGAAGTGGAAGCAATTCCGCGTTTCGTCTGATGAGTGTGGTGCCGGAGGCCTAATTTTAGTCCCTTTCCCTTTCCACTCTTTTCTTAAAAGGAGAGGGTGGGAAGGAAAAGTGGATTTGACAGTGGAGGAGACGCATAGGAAGGGGAAATATCCTCTTTAGGTGCGTCTCCTCCTCCGTCAATGAAAGGTAGGCAACGCATCTACAAATGCGGATGTTTATGGGCAGCGGTCGCTTTCCATTTCGGTGGATTCAGGTGGCCGCTTGCTCGTTTGCCACCTTATGTTATAAAAAAAAAATGGATGTTTGTTAAAGCTTGTAGTCTAAACTGCTGAACCGATCTCAATGCAATATGGTATAGATGTAGAAGATAGTCTGGAATAACACATAGGCCACTTTTGGATTTTAATTCCACTTGAAAGGAGTTGCAAAAGCTAGTAACTAAATATGTGTTTAACGTTAGTAGAACTTTAGATATTAGTTTGTCCTTCCACACCAGTAGAAGTAAACCTTGAAAGAGATGGATGGATTGTGTGAAAAATGACAACCCTATTTTTTTTTTATAACATAATATGGCAACAAGCAAGCAGCCACCTGAATCCGCCAAAATGGCGAAGCGACCGCTGCCCATAGACATCTGCAATTGCAGAATTAATTGCAAAATTAACCTACCCTTATCCGACGGAGGAGGATACGCACTTAAAGAGTATATTTCCTCTTCCTATGCATCTCCATCGTCAAATCCACTTCCCCTTCCCATCCTCTCATAAGAAACTCATCAGACGAAACACGGCATTGGTTCCATTTCACGCCTGTCTTCTGTGTGGTCGTGGTATCACACTGTGTGCCGGCCCATTCGTGCTAAGATGTTAAAGCGGGCACTACCACTGTTAAAGAATAATGAAACTGTTACTCTCCTCCACTGTTAAAAAATAATGAAGTAGTATCAGGTTGGGGAGATGAATTTGATATTTTAAATATATTATTTCTTAATTTCAGGGTTGCAACTGTCCTGCATGTGGTTTAGCCATTCACACTCTTTGTCTAAACAAATATTTGGAAAAACTACAAAAGTGGCCATGCTGTATGATAGACTATAATCAGGCACAGTTGGACCGCCTAAATTCTATAGGGTAAGTTTATTTATTTTAATGTCAACATCAAAGGTTTATTTTAAGTTTTACATACTAAGGGTCAGTCCTACCAAATTATAGATTGTCTGATAACATTCCAACATGTAAAAAGTGTGATGAAAATATCGGATTTTGTTCCCTTATCTAACAGTGACATTTAAGCTATCTGAACCTCTATCAGCTAGTGTCGGGACAGGCTCTAAATTAATCTAATTTTGTCATTATCTGATTATGGTATCATAAATTTATCCAAACTGCAATATTTTTGTAATATTCTTGTCATCTTTCTCATCAAAATTAATCATTAAAAACAAGTCTGAAGTTTTTTCTGAACTAGGACTCTATCTGTAAGAGGTGACTAGATTAGTTAACCACGCTGGTCTATTACGGGTTGATTAATAATTACTTAATATGATATTGTAGCATATACTGTATATTAAATAAGACATACCTAAGTTTTTTTTAACATAATGAGTGCTGACATGGTGCAAGCCATGGTAACTAATGTGATGTTTCAGAATTTTTAGAACCTAGAAACAAGACTAATTTGTTTAAACTATACTATAAATAGGTGTGTCTACATGTTGTTACAAAAAAGATTTGCTAAATGTGATGTGTTTGCATTGCTAATAATGGATGACTTTTTTTTTTCTGTTGAACAATTTTTGAAGCCTATTTTGACTTTACTTCTTTTTGTACTAAGTGGGCGATTTTGATCTATTCTTTAAATATCTGAGTCGAAGAAGATGGAGATTATTTACTAGCATATAACAATGTTTGTAAAAATTATTTTATGAATTTCAGGTTGTCCCAAACTGTGCGTGTGAGAGAAACGCAGGATACAATATGTGATGAGACAGTACCTCTATCAAGCACTTCTATGGATGTAGAGGATGGCACACAGGAAATTATACCCGAGATCTCACAGAGGATAACAAGGAAGAGAAAACGACCAGAATAGGGTACATTTTTAATATAACTTTTAAATAACATTGTTATTTGTAGGTTCAACAGTGTAGATCATTTGTTTGTACAGTTTTTTTTTCTTTTTTTTAGGATAGTTAATTTGTACTATTCTAAACCTTATATCGCTAAATAAACATTTTCCACTTTCTTCCTCACTAGTTTTGCTGATTTTGGATAGAAATCTAATAGATATTTCCATTCATCTAATTTTAAATACACTATATCGACCACGGTTCTTGCTCGGAATGAGAAAAAATGTTGAACACCAACAAATAACCCCTGAAATAAATTTTATATTATTATTATACTTTATTTATATGAATGTTAAGATATGAATAGTCTTAGGTTTGCGATTTTTTTTTGACGCCTAAATTAAGTAATGGGAGGCTTTGCTCAGAAAACTGTTCTAGCTACATTATTTTGCATTTTATGATGTAGAGCTTGTCCCACCAAATTCTAAATTGTCTGATAACAATCCAACGATTAAAATATCTGATTTTGTTTCCTTATCTGACAGTGAAGTAATTTTTAAGCTATCTGAGTCTCTATCAGACAGAGGTGGGAGAGGCACTTAATGTAAATTAGTTTGAATATAGCTTAGGGCTTTGATTGAAATCCGTTATATCGAAAGAAATGTAACGCCTTGATTACACTTACCTGAGCTATACCAAAGCTATCTTCTGGTCCCAACACATCGTAAATAGATTCAGTTAAATTAGGATGCACTGTCAATACTTCAACCTAAAAAAAACATTAAAAATACTCATAACAAAAACTACTTGATTACTTTATTGTAGTGTGTAGCTTAAACTGCTGAACGGTTCTCGCTAAAAAAATGCCTTAAATGTAGAGGATAGTCTGGAAGAACACAAACTATTTTTTTTAATTCCACGCAGACTTCGGCAATAGCTAGCGTAAAAAAAATTCTTTTTTTCGTCCAAAAATAAAGTGACAATTCATTACCTCTCCTCTATGTATGAAGTAAATACATTGATCAGAGTCCCCGCGCTGCACGATGTAGTTGCCAGGGAAGAAGACGCAGTGCTTCATCCACATCACCAGCATTCTCTTGAAGTCGTCGTCAGTTTTGCCGAATATCACCGACTCCGTGATATGACTCCCGTACACCGCCTGCATCACTTGACACCGCAGCCGGAAAGGCAATTTGTATACTAATTCTGGCATCTGAATGTAAAGTTTTTTTCTTCTATAAAATGGCATATTTTTGAATAATCCTTTTTTTAATAAAAAGCCCTACAATTACGTCACGCTTTAGGCTATATATTTTCACGCCAATAAATTTAGAAGATAAATATTTTGGATAAAAAACCTAATGTGGGAAAATGACCATAAATTGCTGCCAACATCAAGGAAGCAAGGTCGTCATCATGTCATGTCAATTTGACATTTGTAATTAGACAAATGTAAACAATAAAATAACATTTTCATAATTTGATGCGGATGAAGTCGCTCGGGAACATCTAGTTATAGTAATAAAATAATCTCACCTGTCTGCCTTGCTGTCGGTTCCACAGCTCGCAGACGTAGTCCCACATCTTGTTCATCTGATGTTCGCTGAGCGCGGTGTCTCGCAGACCATCTTTCAATTCATTTATTTGATAGTCATATGCGATGCGAGACGATGAATGTGCGGTTATCATCGCAGACATTTCTGATATTAATAGACCTTAAACGAAATTGCATTTTAGCCAGAGATTTAAAAAAATATGTACAGAAAGTATAGTTGCACTTGAGACGTTTTTCACATTATCCACTAACGCTATCTATTGATAGGTCTTCAAAACCACATGTCAATTTAATTAATTGTATAAAAATTTATTTCAAATAAGTGTCACAAATAAAATTTAAATGTTTGTTTTATTTTGTGACAGTTTTGTTTATTTTATAACAAACTAGCTGTTGCTCGCGACTTCGCTTACGTGAAATAAAAAAAAATATAGCCTATGTTACTCACAGATAAATTACCTTTCTAAAAGTGAGAGAATTTTTATATTCAGCCCAATAGCTTTTGAGTTATTTCGATAAATACAAAAATATAAATCGTTCTTTTTTATAATATTAGTATATATGGTGGAGCGTGGTGGATTATAATATGCCATTACAAGGATATGATGTGGCGACCTAAACTTGACAATTAACATAGTACCTTTAGTTACCGTAACCAGTTACCAGTGAAATATTCTGTTCCCTATGTTAGAATTCTTATCCAATGTAATATTGGAATGTAGCCGGGAAACTTGGGCATAATTTACTACGAAGTCATACTAAATGAGGTGTTAAATATTTTATAATAATATTTTAAACAAATAAAAAATAATATTTGCTCACCTGTGCAAAATTTAATTATTATAATAATGATAATCGTTTCTATAACTTCGAAGTCGTTTTGTGAGGACACATCCCCAGTACCAGTTATTGTCAATAAGTTTATCATGTACCATAATGCAGTTATGTATAGCGAGAAATACTTTCCCTGTTAAAAACAATAAATTATTTATATTGATTGAAGTAAACTAATTATTATGTAGGTTGAGGTTAAAACAGTCCCTACGTAAACGTATGTAACCGCAAAAGTTAAATTTTAGAGGAGTGAACATTCAAACGTGTTCCTCGAAGCACTGTAGTACAGATTTTAATGTATTTCAAGATTGTATCAGGAGAATAATTTTAATTTATAATCGCTAGTTGCTAAGTTATTTACCTCTGAATATTGTGCACGTAAATTCAACTCGTCTTTGGACATCCAATTTGCCGATTTGCAATGAACAGGCGTCAAGCAAGATAGCTTGAAGAACAAGCAGGCGTTCACATGTGATAATATTGACGCCCAAATAGCAATCGTGCTTAAACATGACATATTACATCACCATAAAATTAGATAAAACCGAATACATCGCGATAGCCCTACTACACCCTTTATTTTCTAAAGAGATACTTCCTTTAAAGGCGTTGTTACCAAAGTTTCTCCCTTTTTAATGCAAGGTTCCAATAGAGAGTAATTAAATCGTAAACTATAGTGAAAATACAACAAAGAACGAAATCATTACATGTCGTAGATTTAATAGATTCCTTTATATGCTTACTTACTTCAATTTTAAAAACAAATTAGCGGAACCAATGTTTATTTTTCGATGCTGTCTGTACGTGAACAGATAAGTGATTCTAAAGAGTTGCGGCGTCCGGAGATAGCAGAATAATGCATTTTGAATATTCGTATTTAACTGCATCGTAAACGCTAAATAACACACTGGAAGAACTGATAGGAAGTCGCGTCTTCTCAGGAAAGTTTTTGAAAAATACCTAGTCCATAAATGATGTTATTAACATAAAATCATAAAATACCGACTTGATATAGATATCAACATATATCAGGGACCTTAGGGCCTGTCACACCACTGGCTGATAGAGGCTCATATAACTTAAATGACGTCACTATCAAGTAAGGTAACAAAATCCGATATTTCCATCACATTTTACACGTTGGATTGTTGTCAGACAATTTACAATTTGGTGTGACAGGCCCTTTTCTTTAAATGTTTACAATTTAACAAGTTAACTTACATTTGTCGTATTTTCTTCGGATTTAGAATATAATCTCCATATCTATTTGTATAGCCTGTGTGCATGTCTAAAAATATCTTGTACAGAAAAATAACATCAAATACTATACAAATGTAAAGGAAATAAGCATTCGACATGAAAGCCATTTGATATATTAGTATCATGAAATCAATGTATGATAGGCACATAATAAAGTAATCTGAAAAAAAAATACAGACAAATTGAGTACCTCCTTCTTTTGGGAAGTCGGTCAAAAAATAATAATTAAAAAGCATGAAATTGTTAATTATGTTCTCATATTTAATACCTACCCATGAATGTGACGTACTTTGAGTCCGGCACAACACTACTTCGAAACCATCTGTAATAGTATTAGATACTCTATCAGAAGTTTTAATTTAAATCCCAATTTGATATTACATTTTACGACATTATGATAGATTTGAAACACCTTTTTTTACCGCTTTCCTTGTTTTATTCACGTATTCTACCAGACTATCCTCTACATCTATTACAAATATCATCGAGAGTCGTTCAATAGTTTAGGCTACAAATTCTAACAAACATCCATCATTCAGGATTTAAACAAACCTGTGGGGTTGGAACAGTAACCATTTTGCGGCTATATATTCCGTATTACCCATAGATGAAAAAGATCTTGACCCATGAGACTCGGCTATACTCTTTTCTGGACTCTAAAAAGTTGTTTTCGTTGTTAGTTTAATATTCAATGTATAGAAGGATGCCTTTTTGTGGCCCGGTAAGAATAGGGGTATCTTCCCAACCGCGACCACGCACTGTCCCCACATGGGGACATATGAAAATAATAAGTTTTATCCGTCCCACCTTCTGCGACGAAGGGACGGTTGGGACTTATTTTATTTCTTAACGGTTCCATCTGTCACCTTATTGGTGATAGTGGGACTAAAAGGTGGGACGGATGAAACTTTTTATTCTTACGTGGAGTCATAGCGGGGTGACGGTTGAGAATAATCCGAATAGGGCTGTTACTGCTGTTAGTTCACATTAATTTACTGCCAGGTTGAATAAGTTTGTCACACTATAATAAAGTTTATAAACATACTTACATCTGAGTATACATTAATATCATTATCATCATCTCCTGATTCATACGTTAAAGAGAATGGCTGAATCTAAAAAAAAAACAAATTAGTCGACTTCTTTTGTTTTCTTTCGTACCGACCGAAATATACTCACTTCTACGCTAGTTCTTTCTGACATAATAGAAGACAAAACATAATCCTTCGTAGTTGAACTAAACGATTCTTTTACTTTTCTCAATACAGATGGATAACCCTAAAAATATTATAAATTAAAACATAGTCCTTGCAATATAAAATAATTAAAATAAAATTTTGAAATTAACCTTCAAAATAGAATAAAACTCAGTTCCTGGTATACATAGTAGGTCTATGTTTCTAGATGCGACTACATTCGATTGTGTTAGGTATTTAGAGGCACCTCGTATGTTCCCGAATATTCCACCAGGCCCCATACACGCTTCCACTTCATTGTTTTCAGATATTATGTCTACCTAAATAAAATTAAAGCTAGAAATGGTTAGAGCCAAAAACTTAAAACGATGATAACGTCATTTCGATTATAAATATATCTGAATCGAAAATTTAAAAATTCCAGTTTCCGTATTTGAACTTTACGAGTTTGATATAACATTCATAATGAACCAATTTTTATCGATATTGAAACAAATGAGTTTGTTCTGTATATAATGTAAGCGTTAGAAATATAAAAAAGGCCGTGCACTCGAAAAGGCAACAAATATCTTCATTTCAATGCGTTTACTTCTTATTTGGGAAAAAAATGTGTGTTTTAATGCAACAGAAATTATATGGCCCAGTTACGTAAATTAATTTCAATTACAATCGTCTAAGACAGATTAATAACCGTCGATAATTGAGTAAAGATCGCTCTATTAACCTTTCCAACCTTAACCTTCAGTAACCACTTTATGATGTTAGTTGCCATCCAAATTTGATCTTTTTACTACAACTAAGACCGAGCTCACACATTGAACTAAACTATGCGATTGTCTATTGTTTTGCAGTCAATTCAACTGTTTTCTTGCACAACTAAAAATCGTGTAGTGGACGCACATCTATATAAGCTTAGAGGAATCGAAGTGCGACTAAACAGTTTTGCGATAGCTTAATTTCACATGTGTGGACGCTCTAACTGATAATAAAATTTAAATCAATAGTCACAGTACTTACTTTTCCTCGGTATATTATGTACATGCTGGTTATAACTTCGTTAGCTCTGATCACCATGTAGCCTTTCTGGTAATACTGCTCTTGTAATTGCTTCGCGAAAGATCTGAAGAAGGAATATTCAACGTTTTCGAACAGAGGTATCTCTCGTAACGTCTTCTCATACATGTATAGTACGGCATCTTCGTTTAAATTTGAATGTAGTTTCCCAAGTATAGTTTGATGCTGATGGAAATTTTCAATGAGAAATTTAAATTTTTCCGTTCCAATTTCGAATATTACTTTATTTATACTCACAGACCACCCGCCAGTTCTTTTCCACTGATATTTCCAATAATCAATAATAGTACGTTTAAGGGTAAAGGCAACTTTCTCTCTGTTAAGAAAAAGTTCCAAATGTTTTACATTTTCTTGAAAGTTTGTCACCATTTGATCAGCCATTGCTTTTAGCGAAGCCATTCTCGCGTAAACATATCTGAAATAAAATTGATAAGCCTTTATTTGCCAAATAAAATATGACATTTGACAATCGTTTAATACTTTTAGCTGCTCTTCACATCCCTAGTTTACATTGACAGCTGTCAATTAGTTAGTGTTGTGCAGAATCTAATGCATTTTGGTATACCAAGATTCTAAGCACCTGTTTAGCATTCATAAAAATAAATTACCTGTTATAAAGAGTGATTTAAAAGGAAATAAATTATATACAAGGAAATTAAAAACATCTACCCACCCGAAGAACAGAAATCCATGTACAATGACGCAAATGGAGAGGACCATGTGGGTGGTGTCTTGTGCGATGATATCACCGAACCCGGCGCCGCTAAAACTTGTGGCTGACCAATAATACGCCAAAAGATACGCCTTCGCAGGCGTTAGGTTTTTAACTTTGAATGTTTTTGCTTCATCTAACCATGAACCTGTGAATTTTAATACCTAGCGTTGATACATGTTTCAATTTGTATTCACTTATTTATAATACTACAAAAGATTTCATATCCTAGTATTATACAATACCAACTGTTCCCTTGCGGCTTCGTCCGCATGAAATTATAAAAATTTTATTTGATTGTTAACACATGTCAAATTATCAATAGCAAATGTCAAAATGACATGACATGACAAAACTTGGCAATCTTACTTCCTTGATGTTGGCAGCAACTTATGGTCTCTTTCCCACTTTAGCGTATTTATCCAAAATATTTACCTCCTATGTTTAATGGTGTGAAAATATATAGCCTAAAGCGTGACGAAGGTGTAGGGCTTTTTATTAAAAAAAGAATTATTTAAAAACATGCTGTAATTGCTGACATCTTAGGCAACAAAGAAGTGTGTGTTTACGCTTTATTATAATAGTATAGATAGATTCAAACGAAGATTATGGCATATTTAGTAGATAATAAAAACAATAAAAAGTTTACCAAGTTGACAAATCATATTTCCATCTGGGTTGTAAGTAGCATCCATCAAAGGTCCTTTTGATGCCAAAATTTCAATTTTTTGCTCAAACTCATTTTGGTCCGATGCAACAACATACGTACAAGACATTGTTATTAAAATAGACGTATACAGATTCAAAAAGAAGACTGTCAATAAAGTGAATTGTACAACACTCATCAGATAAGCCTGAAAATAAAAAAATATAGGGGATACAAGTAAACGCAAAACGTAATAGAAAAGAAATTAATCTATAGTTACAAAAGTTTCACAAGCTCTAAAATACTCAGCACAACCGCAGTTGGTAGACAATTAGCACAGCTCGATTAAGTAAATAATAATGGTTTACATAACATAGACCCGAATTTTATTAAGTGCAAGTTTTTAAACCGTGTATATTCTTTACTTTTTTGCTATGTTTAAAAAGGTTGATTGCAACCGCAAGATTTTCTAAAACCCACAACTTATAACTACTCGTCTGTCTTATAACATTTACCCGTTTTAAAGCTCCTATAGATTCAGTCCAAAAAGCAGCATACAATTTGTGTATTTGCAGAACATTAATCATTCGCAATATGCAATGGTAGAGATGATTGTTTATATAGTGTTCTTCCTCGGTATGGTTCTCGTTATGCCTCGGTACGAAGATTTTCCATAACGCGTACCAAGGAAAACATGTAAGGAAATCAACTATAAATGCATTCTGCAATAAAGAAAATAGTTAATTGCTATTTTTCGTCTTATATCCTTGTTTTATGTTTTGAATGCTTATGTTTTGTTCTTCATACTAATATTATAAATACGAAAGTTTAGATGGATGGATGGATGTTTGTTAGAATTTGTAGCCTGGACGGCTGAACGAATTTCGATGAAATTTTGTATAGATGTAGAGGATAGTCTGGAAAAACACATAGGCTTTTCATTTTTTTTAATACTACGTGACGGAGTCGCGGGCGAAAGCTCGTATTTTTATAAAGTAAAGGGAATGAAAATGTATAAATTGAAAAATTACATTGTTATTTTTCTTACCGTTACATAATTTTTAGCAGTCAAATACGGATGATAGATTAATTGATTTTTGGCGCCATAAAAAGCAACGTGTAGCATTAAATATAGATCTATGTAAGAAATCGCTTCGAAAACTAATAATGAAGTATTGTAACTACCGTATAAAGGAGCCATTGAGACAATGATCTGAAAATAAAAGTTGTTTGCAATATCATTTACAAGATATTGATCGTAACAACATAATAACCTTTGAATGGGTATTAATGTATAATAAGATACTTTACCGGTATTAATAAACTCAATATAAAGGCCGTGGAAATTCGAATAATAGCCCAGGTCTTGAGAAAAACACCGTCCGGTTTTATTGCTATAGGCATAAGCAAGTACGGTGTTATTTTACTCAGAATTGTGAACTGATTGAATGACTTGAAGTAGCTTTGATTCTTCTTTTTATAATCGTTGTAAACATTAATGAACGAATCTGGAAGTAATATTTAGCTATTATTTCATTTATTTACTCTTAAAAAGTCCATAGAAAATGTACCTATGCTTTATCGCAATCACAAAAAAAAAATCAGTGCAAAATGAGTATAAACATCTTACTATCTAAGAAGTCTTGGAAGAAGCTGGTGATTTTCATTTTCGGCGCTTTCTCAGATACATTGTAATGTTGAAAATATGCCTCAGCGCTTTGTAGTTTAGCTTGATTTGCTATCATTTTTAATTCATCTGGAGTTAGAAGACCATCATGTTCTCTCATATCAGGAAACAAATTTAGCGCTGACGTGTATGCAACGTGACTTATGCTAATAAGCTGTAACAAATAATACTTAATTGATGATATCACATTATATTTAATTCCGTGTAATAAATACTTGCTCATATTCCTTTCATGTAGTTCCTAAGGTTGCTAATAAAATTAAGATTTGGTATATTTAGACCTTTAGGAACCTCAAGTAAACTAATTTCATTTCTCAGTCTTTCAAAATATGGTCAAAAGTCGTATGGTTTTTGCATGACTTTTTATATATTTACCTTACAATGTGTAAGCGTAACAACAGTATTAACCGCTGGTACTCCATACAGCATCACCAGCAAGCCAAGATGATTGCCAGGACCGACGACACGCTCCTTCTTTGCTTCCCTCATAGCTTTAGAAGTAACCAAGCAGTAACCCCTTTCGATTATGTACAACTCTCTCGGTATTGTTCCACCGTAATAGACTATTTCACCCGGAGGAAGGATAACATCTCTGGCCACTAATATGAAATTTTATTTAAATTTGCCTTGCTTAATAAATTTTAAACAAATGTTATAATCTATAAATGCCCCAACACACTACAGACTTTCAATCGGCCGATAGTTTAATCGGGAGGTTGATCAGTTTACGACATGTGTAGGATTTTCGACCCGATCAAATCAGCCGATAAAGTCAGTAATTTGCTCTTAATGCCATTTTGAAGCATAACGGCTACGAGATTCCAATTCAAATGGATTTAGTTAGTAAAGTAAATAGTTGAAAGGAAGATGCAATGATTTATTGTTTTGTTTTTTACTTACTCCCTGTAAGCGTCTGTATATAAGCTTTATTTTTCACTTGAAAGAATTTAATGGACGTCAAAGCTTTGAATCGTGCTTGATGTAGAACCTTTCTCCGTAACTCTGAAGGCACCACTGTTGTGTCCAACCAACTCTGATCTGTTAATTCAACCCCCTGCAACATATGTAATTGCAATCTATTCCTGATCTACATTTCCCCTAGAGGAATATTTACAGTTGAAAAATGAGTGTAAACGATAATCTGCTGTTTTAACAATAAACAATTTTAGACATTTTAAAGGACTTATAGTTTACCGAATTGTACTGCCATTGTAATTCGTAAAACGCCATGATTCTAGATTTAATTGCTCGATGCATATTGTTCTCTCTCATGAATTTATCGATAGTTATAATTACTTCTAAAAATGCTGTTTTTGTTCTGAAATATAATTAGAAGTGTTTTAATACCGCCGTATTCGTTAATCGTTATACAAATTAATTTAAATTCCAAAAACTATTTTTACCTAGACCAATGTGTTACCACAGAAGAGAACTCCGATATGCAGTATCCAGTTAATAAAACTCCGAAAAGACTGAGGAAAGCGACCAATCCCATGTCATATTTATCTCCCGGAGAGAAGTCACCGTATCCAACAGAAAGTAATAGAGTAGTCGAGAAGTATATAGAAGTTATAAGTGGGAGGTGAGTCTTGGTTGCACTGCAATTGTTAGTTATACTAAGATGTAATTATTATAAACAGATGTTGGGTACTGATGTTATTATGCTTGAGTAAAATTGAGAATAACATGAATGTAGTAAAAAATACTGAAGAATATTAGATAATAGTACAAAGATTATTAAAACCAGATCAATCGTTTTAGAGAATTATACTATTAATAACTTTGAGATGGTACATTGTTTGACTGTCTGGAGAGTAACATACCGCATTTGTATTGAAACTGGTTTTTGACTATTTTCTGTAATAGCTCGAGCGAACCAGGAATTCTGTGAGCAGCGCGCTACGAAGCATGATTCCATGTAGAGTATCACTCCACACCAATAGCACAACAGACTTACAAATGTACAGTATTTCACGATCTGTAGAACAATATACAGATAAAAATCATTTAGAACAAACTTTAGAATCTATATGGCAATGGACTTTTAAATTTGGGGTAAAGCTAACATGAGAAATTTAATTTTAAAAATTTTGTTTTATTTTGCTACGGCCAAGTTCCGAAATATTTTTTCTTGTTAGTCTAGAATCTGTGAAATATACCTTAACAAGAATCGTATTGGACAGTAGCTTTCTTTCCAACTTCTCAAAGAAATATGTTAAACGCCAAACAAGACACAATTTTGTTCCTTTGAACAGATAAAACAGGTGTTCTCTGTAATCGTCGTAGTAAATAGTTGCCGTATGTATTGTCACTATATACTCGAAAGGTATCAAAGCAAATATATCTAAATAAAATGAAGGTGAATTTAATCTGTATTTCAAGATGTCTGAAAACTTCTTTATATGTCTCTTCTTTGTTTTCACAGCGGTTACTAATGATATAAAAATGTTAATAGTCAGTGATATCGATGTAACTATTTCTGCATAGAATAAGTAACCGCCTGGAAAATTTCGTTTGATTCCGATGTAAAAAGGATAAAGTATGCAAATATAGAGGACTATTAACAGCATGTATAACTCCCAGTATCTTGCCAGATAGCAATCGGATTCCAAAATCCATGGAAATTTTGAATTAAGACAAGTGAATGACGTAGTCCTCTTTTTTACATGATCAGAAAGTATATACAGATCTAGACAATTCTCATCTAGTTCATCATCTTTTGTCAAATTCACTTCTGTTTTCCCTGTAAATTAGTACTTGTTAGTCCTGTTTTTAGTAAATACACATAAAGTTGTAAATTTCAGTTACCTTGTCTATATCTTAATTTATCTTTTAAACATTTGATACTGCTCTTTTTACGATCTTTAGAAACATAAATGTTCAACAGAAATTGATCGTCGCCAGTTTGAATTTCTTTTCTGATTCGACTTCTAGCGATTCGTTTCAATATATCTTTGCGTATTTCTCCAATCAGATCTGGGTAGGTGATCATTAATTTTGTGAACTCCGTCTTTCTGAGAATTTGACATTCCACATAAGTTGCAGCTTTTACTGTGCATCTAGCTGTAAATTATGCATAAAAACTTAGCCGTTGAAAGATATGTATTTGCTTTGTTAACTTATGAGTATAATTACCTGGAATATTAAAAATTAAAGCAATTTCCCCAAAGCATGTTCCTTTTGAAAACGATATCATTGGACTTTCGTCGTCCTCATCGGAGAGTAATTCTAAAACACCGCTAGTAACGCAAACCTGAAATAATCAAAAACAATTATTTAATAATTATAGTCCAACAAATAGTAGTTATAGTATAGACCAAATTTATATAATTACCATAACAGTTTTGTTCTCGTTATGGTTATAAATAATGTCGCCAGGTAAATAGAATCGATGACCCATTGTCACGGAGAGACGTCTCAAAAAAGCTTCAGGTAATTTTCTAAATATCAGAGAACTGTAAAGTGGTACGGCGTTCAGATCGTAGCAAATTTCCATTTGTAAAGGAAATGGAAGAAGTTTTAACAGCTTTGGTTTAAAGACTCCTGATTTCTCATACCATAAATCTTCATAATATCTGTAAATAATAAACATTTGAAATATAATTTAGCTAATAGAAATAAACGATTAACAAATTGCAGATATACCTGATTATACGTTTGGTTGTAACTTCATCCATTTTAATTAATCTTAGATGATTCTGTATTTTCTGCAATTGCCTTACATATATCGCACGACGTGTTGTTATGGTAATGAATTGTGAAGTTAATGAACCAACAAATACAATAGTTGTTAGTAAAAACCCAACTAAAATAGCTGCGGTAGCAGTGACCCTTTCAGCAGTTGTCACCGGATAGAGGTCACCAAGAGCATTTGTAGTGAGAAACATTACAGACCAATAAGCACATATAAAATACCAATCAAACGTAGTCTCAGTAGGTAAGTAAACAGCTGCCACGGACCAAGAAGAACGGTTCTTATGGATATCATAATTTCGATAAGCATACAAATACCATAGACAAGTCCAAGTGTGAACAGATAAAATAAAAAGTATTAAATACTGCACTAAAAATGTCGTCCATTGATTGCTACCTGCTTGTGTTGATCTGTCGTAAAAGTATTCGATTATTCTGTAGACACGTATCGTTGCTATGATAGGAGATATTGTATAGAAATCAAACAAAGAATGATCAGGGTCCATGAAATAGAGAAGAGAGTATGGAACCGCTAAAACTATATCTAGAATAACACGATACAAATCAGGTTCCATTAAATTGAGGGTTTTACGCCACTTTTTAAAGAATTTCAATCCAAAGATTATTACAACGTCAATAGCAAAGATGGCGTTCAAACTGAACAGGAGTATGATGATCCAAAAAGATTTTTCTAGTCGACGACAAAATGTGTACAGACAAGATTCTAAAATATATGATACAAATAGAACTGAGAGGATAAATATTTTCCATCCTGGATTACAATATATTAGCATAACGTATCGAAGTTTTCTATTACTGTAATCCGTTCGTGGTTCTTGTAATACAGCATAAGTTTTTGTTGGCTTTTCTTTACCGTCTGTCAAAATTCGGGAGGAATGTCTTGACAGCCGCCCAATTCTTGGTGCAATTTTAAACTTTTTCTGTCTATCTGTTTCATTTCTATATTGGTACACATCTAGTGAGGAATCCTCTTTTTCATCGTCACCTGAATTTATAAAGACATTAAAAAAATCAATTACACTATACACGTGTGATATTAAAACTATTTGCTGCGGAAACTTACTCATTTTTATTTTTCCAGACGTCCGATAATTGCATCCAAGATATCCAACATCCAAGAAATAACAAATTCCAACAATATTTCTTTTACTGGACTGAATAAACTTGCAATCTAGTAGGTTCATTTTTATTAAAACTAGTCCACTAGTTCGAATTTCAACCATTTTGAGTCTGACACTTTGACATACAAGGTGTTGAAGGCTTGTAATGAAAGGTTAACTTTACTCTGATTGATGACTAAAGGACACCCGATTTGAAGTGTTGGTACTCGTTACCAACAATATTGATTGCCTTTTGGAAGAACTAGAGAGATGCCTTAAGACGGTGCAAAATGAAAATTCGTAATACTCGTTTCTGAGTCATTCTTTATTTTTGGATGTTAAAACCAACATGAACTTAAGACTAAAATGAAAAAAGCTGAAAAAATAGCAATAATTCAATCTTACAACTCAGCTTTTAAATGTGATAATGTTAGCACAAAAATGAAAATGTAAACTTTTGGCCTATTTTGCCCAACATAACATTATGGACGCCATTTTACTTCTCCTTAGTAAATCATATAAGTATATCAGATGCTATTCTTGATTAGCATAGTTGATAATAGTCTATATATACTTCATAACATTTCCTAATATTCTTATGAAAAGCATTAAGTTTTCACGTAGGCTTTAGAAAGTAGTTTTCTGTCGATTACCCTAATAAGTGATAATGTCAAATGTTGAACCTTTGTTCGGAAGCTTCTAGATGACGTAATGTTTTCGATACAAGCTCTGAAACGAATGCGCACGGCACTACAACCTACATACGCGGACATAAGATATAACGAATTGACGTATTAATTTCGTATTGTATCCTCTGATCCATGACTAGAACAAGATGATTCATTCTATAGATCACGCTTGACGAATACGTTACTGTCATTTTAATCATTGTTAACTTTACGTTAGATTCGGTTCGTAAGACATGGCCCGCTCTAAACACAACGAATTAATTCGGGACTAGAACCTTCGACTACTTTTATGGGTTTATCTCACTTTCATTGACTTTTTACAGGTCACCTACAAGTTTATATATGATGCAATACGTTTTGTGTAGATTATAAACGAGGACATATAAATACTTAGATTTAAACATGTTAGGGCTTGTCCCACCACTCAGTCTCAGATGAGAAAAGTGACGTCACTGTCAGATAGACTACGAAAATCCGATATTTTCATCGCATATTTTATACGTCGGTTTATTATCTGACCATTTCCAAGAATTGTGGGACAGGCCCTTAATCATTAGATTAGCCACTAGAAACGTGAGATTGGTCAAGTTCTAGCTCATATATTACAAAAAAAACATAACGTATCACTTAGAATTTATATGTTAGAGTCCTGATTTTATTTCCATCTTCGTAGATCTAAGTTCCATAACTCGTAGATAATTAGTCTGGCGGCGAGCTACCATAGAGGGCGCGGGGCCGCATAATCTCTACACTTTTATGGCAACACTGCTCGGTCTCCGCGAAAAATGTTGTCATATAATGATTTCGAATGTTTTAACTCGTTACATGAAGGATTAAATTAAACTGATGCCTTAGTAGGTTAATGTATATAAAATGACTTAGATTTTTTTCAATTTTTTTCTTTACTACTTAGTGGTTTTCCCTGTAAACACGTGCGTAATCCCTTATAAGGTGTATTAATTTTCAAGGATCCAGAAAAATTAAAAACAAATGAAATTCGTTAAAACGCAGTTCTCTTTATCAACCTATTACTTTTTATCTACATTTAACGTGAGTAAGAACAATCTTCATTCGTATTGGTTTCCGAAATAGAGTGGAACTCTTTTAATCCGCTTAATTCGATAGATCGGCAAGCTTTAGTATAGGGGTCAATTATCCATTTATCCTTTTAACGGAATTGATAAAACGAAACTAATTCCGACGTTTTTAATTGACTGAATCGTAGTGGATAGTTTAAAACGAATTTCATGAAACCTTCGGTGATTATTTTAACAATTGTCTTGTTGAAAGTAGATACTGGTAGCTTTTTAACCCCAACGTAAATAGATACAATGCAATTTTAATTTTCACTAGCTGTTCCTCGCGACTTCGTACGCATGGAATAAAAAATAGTAAAAAATACATCCTACGAGTATATTACTGATATCGTAGTTTTTTAATCGTAGAAGAATTTTTGAAATCAGCCCAGTTTTTGAGTTACTACGTACAAAAATACAAATCTTTCCTCTTTGTAATATAAGCATAGATATAGATTATTTATTCAACAACAAACACATTACTCCGATGAGTAATTCATATTTTCTCAATACATTCGATCGCCATAACAATGTTTTGTTTTTTTAGCATAAAAACCCCGCGAGTCGGCACCATGCATCCATTGTGCAAAGTAATCTTCACTTCTGATGTCATTACAATAGCAAAAAGTAAAACGTACAGAATTGTAATTATAGTGATTATAATGGCTGTTAGCAGGCTTTAGATAATATTACTTTTAAACATAATCTCATCTTACTTCTTACTAATATTATAAATGCGAAAGTTTAGATGGATGGATTGATGGATGTTTGTTAGAGTTTGTAGCCTTAACTGTTGAACGGATTTTGATGAAATTAGTAATAGATGTAGGGGATAGTCTGGAAGAACTAGCTACTCTGGTTTGATTTTTTTTAATTCCACGCGAACGGTGTCGCGGGCCAAAGCTAGTATTTAATGGTCAATATTTGTCCATTTGCCTTTATTGGTATCTTGTAAAATTGTATCCGAAAGAAATTGCTGTTCTATTTTTCATTTAAAATATTATAGACTAGCTGTTGCTCGCGACTTCGTCGGTGTGGAATTGAAAAAAAATTGCCAAAAAGCCAATGTTAGTAATAACAGCTTTCGGAAGAAATCGGAAGTTTTTTTTAATATATACACAAATCCAAATCTTTATATTATTATAGAATTATAGATTATATAAGACCTACCTCACGCTCGTAATTTAAAACAAAACTATATTTAATATAATATGTATAACCAATGATAGATTAAATAACAATCAAGGAAATAGTTATTGTTCGATGGTATGGAACGAGAATACCTTTTGTAATGGAAAAATAAATAGTAGGTATAATTAAATAGAAAAAGGTATTGGCATATAAAGGTTTTTTTTTAATTTAATACAAATATTGAAGTCCTATTGGATTTTAGCTTGTTATAGACTAATAAGACACCTAAATACTAATGTCTTATTTATCTTAGTGCATAGTACTACATACATAATGCTTATCTTTATTTAGTTGTAACTAATTTATTCATGTTAAGTTACAATGTAAGCTAACACAGGTTACTTATTTTATCATCGTAATTATTAGTTAGTTGTAATAGTTATCAGCATGGCGTCTAGATGGCGACACTTTTGCAGACAATCTCGTGCATTTGAAAGGGACAGGTAATGTTTGCAGTCGAGTGCGAGCGAGACAACCAGAGGTTATTATTACGCCTACACAGCGAACGGCAGCCGCACGCGCTTGAAAAAATCCATTCGACAACATCGCAAGCGCAGCGCTATATTCACCCACAACTTCACTTCGGTCAACTTCGTCATTTAGTGGTGACCGAAACGTCGATGTGTGTGGTAGTGAAGTTAACTTTTCTAACATAGATATCTCACATTAATAACAATAACCAGTAACTAAAGTACAATCGCTTATTGAACGTGTCTAAAGAAACATTTAACGTGTCAAAGTTACAAAATAATAATCAAAATGTGTGATAGTAACAGTCCTTCGACGCAAAGTATAGCGGACTACTTAGCTCAGTTGCTCAAAGACAGGAAGCAACTGGCTGCGTTCCCAAATGTTTTCATGCACATGGAGCGACTTCTGGACGAAGGTAGGTTATAGTCTAATTAAGCTACATTAAATACGCCGCGATGCGCATGTACCGGCCGAGTCTATTGCGGATTCTTGTCACCGAGACGATCGTAAATTGGTGCGTCGACAAATGCTACAACGCACACGATATTAAGTTTATTTTTGTCTTCGCCCCGCCGAGTTATGGTCCAGTGGTGTTTGTAATGCGATCCTTCGTTTCGAAAAGCGAAGTAAAGCAGAACGTCCCGTCGGTGATTTACAGACATTCGTTAAATAGTCGCCGTGAAAGAGATCGGTGAAATGAACGCGGTAAACGGGTTTAGTGTTCATTTTAGAGCGGTATCGGACAGCTGTCGGAGACGAATGTTTGTTTAGTGATCACTAGAACGAATTGTGTCCGTCCAATGGAATGAGGGCGCGTAAAGAGAAGGACCGCAAGTCCTGAACCTGTTCGTAGGGCCGCGGCACATTCCGCGGGTGGCCGGAATGTCGCCACTCATTGTAGGTACCGTAGTCATCGACCGTTTTCAGTCATACAAGATTTGTACGCAGCTCGCCGCAGCGCAGCCTTGTTTTATGACCGGTCGCAACCAGGCCGCCTCGCCAGCGACATGTACGTACTGTACATACTCCTTATCGCTGCTACCGAACGCTCAACGCCGACTGACTACCTACCTACTTCGACCTGACACATTGTTTACATGTTAATCGATTAATGATGCATTAATAAATTATTATTTTAAATTACATTCATTTATCCTAAATTATTTTACACATCTTTGTACTTAGGGGTAAATATATGTTTGTTAAATTGGAATTAAATTAATTTGTATTAAATAAGTATCTTTATATTTCCTGCTAGTATAAACAAATACTGCGGTAAATATTTCAGATAAGAATGTTACTGCATGTATTTTCGATGTCTCTAATAAAATGTGTTGACAATTTTGAGGTTCTGTGGATAATTACATTCCTTAAATAATTCTGTACAAATATAGAATTAACTAAAAATGCTTATTTATTCCATTGCCTTTGCTTACAATGTTTTTAAGGAATTAAAAGGTTTGATGAAACGTATAATAAGAATTACACATTATTTAAAACGCTTAAACAAAGGAGAGAAGCATAAGGATTTCTAAACGTACATTCTCATTATCAAGTCATGTCACGTCTCTAACCCAAGCGAGGTTGAGCTCACACTTCATGTCATACAGCAGCGATTTACTGTCAGTTTTGCCGGAACGATTCGAGAATTTTAACACCGTTACTCCGAAATGGGCTTGCCATAATATTCTCTAGATAAGTTTTTTATTTTTACTAGCTGTTGCTCGCGACTTCGTCCACGTAAAAAATATAGCCTATGTTACTCGGCGATATCGTAGCTTTTTAATGATGAAATAATTTTTGAAATCAGCCTAGTAGTTTTTTTAGTTTTTTTAATAAATCCAAAAACACATATATTTCTCTTTATAATTGTAGTACAGGTTATAGATGGTAGGAAAATCATGTGGGTTAAGCAAGTATGTAATTTAAGAAATAAATATAGTATAGGACACATTGTGGAGTGTCCAATTATAAGATCTGGCCACATAATATGGATGTCAGTTGTCTCCTGTATGTGCCTTGGCCATTCCATTGAGTGCTTTGCGATTCGGTTAGTATTCTTACTCGGAATTTCATATTATTGTGAATAACAAATTAACTGAAAGTGCCACAATTAGAGTCATTAGCTTATTATATTCCCGGTAAGTAAAACCAGATACACACCTTCAGTTTTAACTGCAGTTTCGCACCGCGTGTGTTACGGGTTTTACATGGCTATGAAACGTTTTCGTCAAATGTTTAACATCTGAACTTTTATCTTTTATCTTTTCCTTTGACATCATGCATTAAAATTCAACTCACTGGTAACTCCATTATTATTTCCTAAGCACATATTTTTTTCAAATTATTGGACTTGGCACCCTTCAAGAAACGTATCTACTTCTCAAAGACCGGTACCGCAGCAGGTCCTCTGGCTTTGCTACTCGTTTGCCCCCTCCTCTTATTAAAAAAGTTTATTTGTTATTTTATAGGACCCTTATAAATGTAATAACTGTAATAGGGGTGATCCGCGTTTTAAACATCAATCTAATTATTAATCCCGCATTTTTGTGGCAACCCTAAAATATCAACAATATCAATAATTACTTTAGAAGGGAGTATCTTATTTGGTATTTTGTTATGTATCTGTTCTGTGTTTAAAAAAAGAATACTGTTATTTATGATCATACTTTCATACTAATATTAACATTATAATTTTATGGATGTTTGTTAGATTTTGTAGCCTAAACTGCTGCACGGATTTTAATGAAGTTTGATAAGATGTAGAGGTTAGTTTGGAAGAACACATATGCTACTCACTTTTGTTTTTTTTTTCATTCCACGCGGACGAAGTCGCAAGCGAAAGTTTCTTATTTATTTTTCTATAGTTAATATTCTGTTTGGAAAACGTTGATAGCGTCCTCGAGAATGTTCGCATATTGTTCAATATTTACTCGCATTTAAATTAGTTACGAAACACGTCTGTACTCGACTCTGGTATGATTGGTTACGGCCTAGTCAAACTGGTACCTTGTTACTCTGGCAAATAAAATAAAACATGATTGAACACTCTATTGTAGTAACTATCATGGTGACAGAGTTCGCTTCTCTAGATCATACTATTATAAATGCGAAAGTTTAGATGGATGGATGTTTGTTAGAGTTTGTAGCCTAAACTGCTGAACGGATCACGATGAAATTTGGCATAGATGTAGACCATAGTCTGAAAAAACACATAGATTACTTGCTTTTTAGTTCCACACGGACGGAGTCGCGGGCGAAAGCTAGTCTTAGATAAGTACACAAAAAAATTATAATAAAAATATATGCAAAAGTACATTATAGCTTTTAATAACAAACATATTTTTAGCCTTTGCTAGGAACATTTTTAAAACAATTCTATAAACTAAAATTCTATCTCTCCTCTCTCTCTAAGTAAGATCTGCAAAAAAGTCAATATAAATACTCAATGTTTGCAATATTTACATACCCTACTTAATCTTGTTAAACGGTTTAGGTAACATCTTTATGTAGATTATCTATTGCTTGAGATATTTCAAATGTCCACTCTACATATTTACGTTACATCACGAAAACTTGTCAGTTTAACATTTAAAGAGCTCTTGTGTTTGAGAATGCATGTCATTAATTAAATTTTGGTATGTCGTCGCTTGAGTCATAATTCCCACAATTGGTTTATTGGGAAATGCCCTTATGTTACTAGAATTCCATTAACTAACCTTATTTACGTGTTCGTTGAATCGGGACAATGATTAAGGAAACAACATATTAGTACATGTTTTAAGGATAATTTTTGAGATAGGTACATAGAAAAGGAGTCTAAATGACAATCGACAATACGATAAGATCAGGGGTTAAATTCTTGGTTTGGGTCATATATCTACAAAATTGCCTTTGATTGTTAAAGTCGATGTTATTTAAAACTTATTTGAACTAGCCAACTTTTTTTTAGTTTTTATCTGTTGTGTTACATGTATCTTTCTGTTAAATTGGTACTGGTAGTTGTATCTGGTAAGAGTTACGAGCGTCCGCGTTAGATGGTTTTATGGTTTATTTGACATGTTGCCGGTCCAGTGGGAGCGACTTGACGAAAATATCGACAGCGTGCTGACAAGCGACAGGCTGCGTATCGCATTACATCACTGTTTATTATTGGATTTTTTTTTTAATCTAGGATATTTCATAATTTGATCTGTTCCGTTCTGTTCTCTTATATTCATATGAAAACATATTGATATAAACAGAAATCTTTGTGTGTTGTAAAAGTCTAAACATTTTTTGTGTCGTTGAATCTCACGTCCAAGATATTTTTTGCCGCTTTTCTTACCGACGATACAAGGCGGACGTTTACCTGACAGTTAGTGACACCTACCTATGACAATATGATGCCATTTAGCATTTTATAATACAATGTTTTAAACAAGATTGTGTTTGAAGAACGAACATCAATAAATTCTGCATTTTTGTGGTTGTATTAATCGATTTCAAACGGGAACTGAGCGTATTAACGAAGCCTGTAGGGATACAAGGATATATTTTTGTTAGTATCTAAGTTAATATGTATTTTTTACATAAAGAAGCATCGGTATCGATAAAGCATTGTGCTGTTCTGAAATAGCTACTCGTTTTAATAATTTTAAAACAAGATGTATTCATCTCAATAATGCTAGTGTATATTGCAACACAAAAATATACTATTATTATTTTAAGAGTTCATCTCTCGTTGTTTACAATCACTGCATTCGGTTGTTTGCATTTCGAAGAGATACTAATCATTAACTAGTTAACAATGTGGCGCCGAAGATAAACAAATATACAAATCAATCAAAACATAAATCGTATTGATAAAACATGACATGAATCGACAATTACAAGATAAAGGGACATCAGTGCGAAGTCATTCAGATTATTAAATTGTTATAGATTTTGCTGATAATTCGAGGTATGAAATATCAGATTTTCTGATAAATTTTATCTTGTGCGTTAAACAAACCCATCATCCAGATTACATTGTGATATCAGATAAGGCTAAGTTTAACAGCCTTTTAACAAGATTTCTTCATTATTTTTACATTAGGAATTCGTAATTGTATCGTAAAATCAGTTTATAACAACAAAGACACATGTGTTTAGTTTCATGATAAACTAAATATATGAACGAAACATATTCCTTTATAAAAGATTCATCTCGCTTTCTGCACATTCATATTTTGCGTATAATATTGCCCTTAGTGACCGATCTTGGAGGGGATAAGGTCAACAAGTGTGTGTATAACGTCATGTGATAAATATTCTTCGCCTCTTATCTATCCCTTTAGGAGTAAAATTATCGAAGAGTACTTTCTCAATACTAACAATAATTACGTCCTTAAAAACAACTTTCCCTATTATTATATGTTATAATATTTATCGTAA